GAATGTGGAGCATGAGGGCTAAGAGGAAGCAATAAAGGTTAAAGGTGCAAAAAAAGAGAGTGGCGAGTGAATATTCTTGGCGAAGAAAATTATAGAGAATGACTGTTTACAACGCCATTCGTTGCATTCTTACTTTTACATGTGAATGGCCAGTTCTAATTTGGAACTGATAACTCACTTTGTCAAAAAATTATATGCTTGTCTTGTAATGTAGCGATAATATTGTAGCTACTTCTTACCTTTATATGAGATTGACCACGTCTGTGAATGACCACATCTAATACATAACGGAACTGTTAATTAACCCAAAAAACTAAAATGTTTTGTAGGGCAAGGTAAAAATGTTTCAAAAGAATGGAAAGAACATTTTTTAATAGCAGAGAAAACTAATTTTATGAATAATCTGAATTGTTTTCCAGTTTTAATTTTTATTTGTTGAATGAAGAAACGTTAGGAACACAAGTTTATGATAATGCAAACGATTAAAAACATTAAGAACACAAGTTTACGACAGCGCAAACGATTTTTTTAAAATAAAATTTTTAGAATTGTCTTCCAGTTTTCAGTTTTAAAAGTCAATTAAGTAGAAAAAGCACGTTAAAAAAACTTTGTTTTGAGAAGTATGAGTAAATAATTAATGTAATAATATCTTTATACTTGTAAATATTTCTTGTTCAAAAGAATCGAAGCAAAAGTCCGTCGAAAAATACATGTCATAAAACGATACGGCTAAATTTGATATTAATTTAGTATCTAAATTAATATCAAATTTAGCTTAAATGTGGCAAAACTTTTAAGCTAATTATCCCACTTTTCGGAGAACTGACCAGAATAGTTTGCTATGTAATTTTGTGGGGAGATTATCAGTTTATTAATTTATTTATATTACTTAAAACTGAATAACCCTCCTTTGTACAAAATAAATCGTAGATTTTACAAAGAAGTTATAAAGCGATAGGTATTAATTTTTCTGTTCTTATCTTCCAAACTGTTCACTTAGAATGTCCAATTAACATCAAGAAATTTATAAACTTTCAATACAGTTTAAAATCCCAGTTACAAAGCCTGCGAACCGCTATGAAGTTAACGCGCTAAATGAGAAATGTAGTAGTAAATTGTAGGTAAAGAATACAGTAGAATTTCTATATATCGTAATTCTATGACCCGCAATTTTCCATATACCGCATTAATTTTACAATCTTCAAATCAATCCAAAATCAATAAATTTGATGGATTTCATTTCTAATACTCTTAAAAGTTGCAATTTTCTCCGTAAATAATAGTTAGTTTAGTGCATATTGTTGTATTTTAGTGTATTTGCATTTTAAAAATATTTTAAATTATTAACTTTTTAACAGACATATTGCTATGCTTAGTAGGCAAGTTTAATGATAAATGAAATAATTTATATAACACAAACTGATATATAATGCAAAGTCTCGTGTTTCAAGGTTTGCTTTATAATCTTCTACTCTTCTACTGTATTGATGTAATGAAAGAAGAAGAAAAAAGAACTCGCTCTGAAGTAGAGAAAAAGCTTGACACGATATGCGTAGCTTCCGATAATTATGAGCATTTAATATTTACTAAATCTTCCCCCATCTTCAATTTAGTTAAAATAATTTTTTTTAAGGGCCTAGTAATTTAACATTATTGAAAGCGTCACAGATTAAATTATTCGAACAATCAATGAAAACGGTAAGCTTATGTCTACAACCTTCCATAATGCATTTGTATTGAAAATTTTAGAGATAGGAATTTACTATCTTTTTTTGTCCAGTTGTGCCAGATTATCGTTGATGCCAGAACACACCTTACTTGATGGAGAGTCCATATGCCCTCTTGCCCTCTACTGGCGCCGCTAATAACCTTCTACACATACCAAACATTTTTTTTTCTTCTAACCATCTATATTTCATTATCTCCAATCACTCTGACCTTGACTGATTTTTTTCCCCTTCTTCTTAAATCGAAACTTCTTTTACCCTACACTTAATATTATGAGGTAACAAAACTATTTGTTTTTAGCTGTAAGAACGTGATTAATGTAAAAGGTTTGTTTAATAAGTTTATATAGTTTTTTAAAGATATGGGCGGGATTGACATGGGTGGAGTTCAACCTTGAATAGCTATAAGATTAATTTTTTACCCCTCCATTGTGTATAAACTAACTCAGCTTTGTATTTTATTTTAAAATATGCATAGCTAAAAATATGTAATTCAAATACTTTTTTTCTCACGGTTTTTAAATATATTTTTTTGTTTTTGTTTTTATCATTTATTATCAAACGTTGGTTGGCTATTAATTTAAAATTAAATTGCAACTTTTGAGATTCAAAGTCAGGGCCGGATTATACCTTTCGTAGGCCCTAGGCACAGAGCCGGATTATACCTTTCGTAGGCCCTAGGCATAGCCGTTTTTGCCCCCCCCCATTCCTCCCCTCTTTCCCCGCTAAAATTTTCTTGCATATTTTTTTTTTACATTTTTATTAATATGGGTTTTAATTTACGAATTTGTTTATCTAACTTTATCTGCAATACCGACATACTGCCGATATTGCAGTTGATATCGATAATACCATTTTTGGTGAAAATTTACTCTTCCGATTTAGAGGAAAACTTTGTAGATGAATTTTTACTATTTTCAAATTTGTATGAGCATAAATCTGCACAAGAAATGTTGAAGGCTCAAATTAAAGATAAACTTGTGAATACTTTTCCTAACGTTCACATTGCATTAAGAATATATTTGTCGATTCTTGGATCAAATGCAGAAGGAGAAAGATCTTTCTCCAGATTAAAATTTATAAAAAATTATTTGCGTTCAACAATGAATCAAGATCGTTTGGCATCTCTCGCACTTATGTCTATTGAATACGACATTTTGCGTAGTTTGGAATTCGACAGCATAATACAAGATTTCGTTGAATCCAAAAATCGCAAAAAAGTAATATATTAGATCATAAGATTCTGCAAAATAATTTATTACCGAAAAATATTATATTTTTATTTGTATCTTCATAATTTTGTGCAAAATACACTTGTTGTTTTTAAAGCTAAATTATTTTGGTCAATAAATTTTTTTCTCCCAAGTTTTTCGTAGGCCCCTGAATTTCGTAGGCCCTAGGCACGTGCCTAGTGTGCCTATAGGATAATCCGGCCGTGTTCAAAGTATATAGAAACAATTCATTTAAACTTTTTGTTAAAAGCAGCAACTATGTTTTTCACTTTTACCCTGTTCCGATAAGTTTTATTTATTCGCAAATTCTGGGGCATGCTTTTTCTCACATTTTGATAATCAACATATTTTTTTTTTCAAAATCAAAATTTTGTAAGAGATTAGTCAAACAGTATTCAAAGAGTATTAATTTAAAAATATTATTTTAATAAGATTTCTCCAAATTTATTACGTCTAGTGTACGATTTTAAAATGTATGGAATTATTACATTTTTATAAGCAATAAAACTTTTAAAAAAAATAGGTTAGTACTTAAACATACTCTTGTAACAATTAGAAGGAATATGTAAACTTTTATTTCTCTGCATTTTTTACATGTTGTTTTATGTATTAATACGCATAATAAAACTTTATAACACGGTTTACGCGCATAAATAAAACTTTATATTTTCCCATTACTTTGTACGGATAATACGATTAATATTTTATGAGTTTATTACGAACTTAACTCTCACAGTTATGAGGAGGAGGATTACTTTAGAATAAAAATGAAAACGAAGATATTCTATAAAGGAAAATAAATTTTACTATCTAAAAACATAAATATTAAAAACATAAAACATGAAAAAATACATTTTAATTTTTTTTAAACGTACGTTGTAGAAATAATTTATAATAATAAAATGAAGAGTTAGTCTGTGTGTCTCTCTTAGAATCGTTTCTGTTATCGTCCTGATTTTAGTCTTGAATGATGTTCAAACATTTAACTTAAATCGTTTGGGATTGTAACAAAATCTGTTGACGATTCTTTTTCTATTCATTACTCAAAAATATATTACAACTGATTTTGCTAACTTATAGCTCTATTTGATCAAAAAAGGAGTTAATTACACGTTCTTTAAAATTTAAAAGTGTTTATTTTGTTTATAGTTATGCTTATAAAGCGAGTTTTTACGAAACTAAATAATTTAAAATCAACGGCAATTAAAATTTAAAAAAAAACTAAGTTATGTAATAAAACATAAAGTTAATGGAGAAAAGAGAGACCTTAAAAATATCCAAACTATAATTGTCGCCAATGATGTTTAATTATGTTTGGTAATTTGCATTGCTGGAATTCTGATAATAGGTGCCGTTTTAATCTACTGACGTTTTAATCTGATTCATTGTAGTTACTATAGTGCTTTGGTAACAGATTTTTATGGCTTCTGAAATAGTTAAGTACCGGAAAAAATTACTTGATTATGATAAACTTTAATGATGATACGAATATGTGAATAATAAATCGTCTAAAGCGAAAATCTTACTCCCTTAATCGAAATTTGAAAGCGAATCTAGCAAACACATTTGAATACTTTATATTGCATGACATAAAACATCAAAAATAAGATTAACATCCACGCTCCCTAGAATAAAACATTGATATAGGTCAAATATATTTTTATTATTTAATGGAGAGAACGATAATACACAATCCTCAAAATACAATATTAACAAATATCCATTTGATTGGCCGATTCCAGCAAACACAATCACTTCATGCTTTCTTCATTTCTTAATGCACATAACAAATTTTCTTTGTATTCCAAAAGAAAAAAAAAATGTTCTAAAGTGCTCACCAGTTGCTTATTAAAAAATAATGAAATCTTTTTCATATCGTTTGCAGTAAGAACGCGGCAATGTTTATTGTAGAATAGCGTTATCGAAATAAACTTGAATAAAAGCTCTAATGATCTTCACGTTCGAAAATTCGCATTGAATCGCTTTCACTAGCCCGCAAAAATGGGTATTTGACCCACATAGCCCAACCTGACAATACAATCATTGTTTGGATACTTTTGATGCTTTTTGATTTATCATCCTATTGTTGTTGTCTTCTTGGACTAAACTGTGTCATTTTTTTCTCTTTGCAGGCAAATGATATACTGAAATGCCCGGATGGTAAGAAATTTTACTTTCTTTATTTCGAATTTCGGTGAAATTGGTGTGTTTTGGATAACTTTCACTTTTCGTGATAACCTTCCATGAGTAATTTTTTTGGGTACAAATCTAAGGTGGAGCCGTAAAATTTTTATATGTTTTTTTTTTTTTTTGAAGAGTTTTCTTTTGAGTTTTATTATGATATTTGCTTTTTTTATGTCCTTACATGAATACATTGCTTTACTACGTATTGCAGTTTAGCTCTTCCTGTTAAAAAAAGGATTTTTTCATTAATATTTTAACAATTTAAGAAGAAATTAGTTTATAAAAGTTTCCTTTCTAAGTTGCTCAAAGTCGAAATTAAATTTCTGTATTACCTGAATTCTTAAGACCTAATCATCTATGTTCAGATTATAATTTAGTTATTTATACATATTTTAATTTTTTCAGTATTTTTTCTTCTTTTTGTATCTTGAGACTATTAATAAAAGCACACTTATCACAATAAAACGCATGCAAAATTATTATTTAAAAAGAATAATAACGAAAAAACTAAACCTCAATGTTTTCTTTCACCTTTTGACGAAGATGGGACTTCGGTGTTCTTTTTATATATATTTTTTCTGACGTTCTAATAACTAGCCAAAATATAATTTTAGAATTTTTTAATTTTAAAAAAGCAGTGTAAAAGATACTAAAAAAATCTGTTCGATTATCGGAATTTTATTTGTATTAAAATATTAAAAAAATGTAGTTTGAAATGTTTTTTGATTCATATATGTATCAAAAATGTATCAATAACTGATTTTGTAAATGAAAGAGATTTCAGTGATGAAAAATGTTTTCCCTTAAATCCTAAATAACTGCAAATAAGTGCAAATTTGAAAAATTATTGTTTGAAAGGGAACTGTGTTCAGAAAATTTTACCTTTAACGCAGAAAAAGACACTGGTGTTTCATGCTGTATTTTGTAACCGTAAATTGCTGTATTTTGTAACCATAAAGTGCTAAAGATAATATTTTTCACTTATTTTGACCAAAAGTAAAACAAAATAATAAAGAAAGTATGAAAAATATGTTTATAAAAATTCTGCTTCAAAGGGTGAAAGATAGATTTCGTCTCCTAAAAATTTTAAAGAAAATAGCTATGCAATACATATATAATAAACGTTACAACCTAATGATATGTAACTGCATAATAAATGTAGATTAATACACAAATAATTATGCAATACATATTAAGTTTATATATTTAAATCTTCAAATAATAATATTAGTGTTTAGAAGTTTCATTTTGAACTTTAATTACGCACGTACTATAAAATCAGAATGAGGTCTCTCAGATTTTGATATTTTTAAATTATCTATCCAAATTATCTATGCGATTACAAACATTCATTCTTTCCGATCATTCTATCCGATTTCATTCATTCTTTCACTCGTGTTTTTCATTTTTTTAAAAAATAATTTAAGAAAATTCAAAATATATAATCCTGCTGTAAAATGTATGTAATTCTTAAATATTATAATTCGTTACCTCTTTTAGGCAAATAAATGTAGCTTCAAATTGAAAAAATGTGTTCTTTTCCATGAATTAAATAGTTGTAAATTAGAATGTTCTGAAAAGAGAAAGTAAATAAATATGTGTATAATATCATGCATCACTACAATAAAGGAATTAATGAAGATTTAAATTAGTAAAAACTTTCATCCTGGTCACTTTAAAAAATGTATAATGGTAAATTACTATTCGTTTAGACCTTTTTAACACCATTCAGTAGGGGAAACCAAAAACAACTTAAATTTTCCTTTGGTACATATTATACAACTAAAAGAATATCTTAATTGTATAAATGTAAGGTTTTGGAATTATTTACTGACTACTTTAAATCCGGATGACAAAGTAAAAAAAATGCTTCATAATGCTTTATTGGGTGGACTCAATGTTAGAGCTTTCGCTTCATGCAAACTTAACAAAAATGAAGGTATTAATTATAAAGTAATATAACTATCAAAACTATATTATTAAATAAAAATATCATTATGCATTAATAAAAATTAAAACTGACTAGGCAACGTAAATACAAAGCCCAATTTTTTAAAATTAATCAAACATTTACTGACTGCTGGTTGTGGCTATTTCTAAGCAAATACAAATATAATTATTGTGATGTATCGTCAATAATATCGATAGTTAATGACTGATCGAGATATTTGCAGTTTTTGCACATTTGAAATATTTTTCCTTTGAACAAAACTTTCTTCAATAAATTGAAGAACAAACATATATTTTTTTTTTGTTGAAAATTATCCTAATGATTTTAATTAATTTTTTTAAAAAGAAAAAAACTAGTGGGAAAACTAACACAAACACCATAACATCCCATTAAATAGCTTTCATGTTATCAAATACAATAAATATCATGAAGTTATCATATTCGGTAATTATCGTTATCGATATTGATCATTATATTATCATGTTCATTATTTATCATAGTTGATAATGATTGCAGTATTATCATATCGTGATATTTATCGTTAAGGAGCGATGTTTTATCTTAAGAAAACACTTTAAAATATCGTTACAAAATAAATTATAAATTAATTAATATTAATAATAAAAATATCAATGTTTCATAATATATCGATCAATTCTAGTTGTCACATAACTAGCTTCCTCAATGCCAGATCTATTTTTTTGAAACTTTTTTTATTATTGGTTAAACCACGTGCATATTACAACTTTCCCGTTATATTCTTCAATAAATAACGATATTTATTGTTATATATAACAATACTACATAACAATACACATCATTCTGTATTGCTGGAAAACAACAAACTTGCAACACCGAAAATGCCCAAACATGGACGAAGAATTTTAAAGAACATATTTTTTTTATATTTTTCTAATACGGCGACAAATAAAGTCCTCGTTTCGTTTAGGTTTTGGCAACAAAAAACGGAAACATCAAGTGTGTAAGCTTTCATAAGCATGAAAGCGTAAACGTATATGCCTAAAAATTTCTGATGGATTTTTTTTTTTTTACTTGGACAATGAAAAGCTGAAACGAACAAAGCTGTGATAGTTATTATGACAGATAAATTTTTGTTTTGTAAAGCACAGAAATTTCGCATAATTTTGAATTAAGTCATTTCAACAGACAAAAACCAAATTTTGATCGTAATTAACTAAATAATTTTCGAGAAATATTTAATAAAGTTTCATAAGAAAAAATTTTTACATCAAAATTAAGCAGTGTGTTCTACAAACGGGAAAGCGTAATCAAGGAAAATATTTTTAATTCGAAATTAAAATTGGGTATTGCAACTCGAAAGGAACTGAAGTGATTATGCTTAACCATGTGATTTAAATCAGATTTAACTGGATACCTGTAAGCGACGTCAAGCGTGTGTATCGAATCTGATTGGCTTATGAATCGACAAATGGCACGATTTATATACAATGACGTCACTATCCAGATTTTCAACTGAACGTGGAAATAGGCCTCTGGATATAAAGAAAACAATAACATAAATGAAAACGACATTCATGAAACAAATACAACAACAACAAAAAACGATAGCTGAAAATTTTATTATTATTACGCTATTGTATAAATAGGATATTTCTCTTAAAAACTGCATTTAAATCATTAAAGCTGCTTATATAAGATCTTTTTAGATTAGATGTCATTCCAGGAATACTTATATCTTCCCAAACAATAATCGCATTATAGAACAAAATAATCGGAAGTGTTTCAAGAGCACCTGTAAAATCATTAGTCAAGCGAAAAAATTCAAACCCTTAGAGAAGGAATTTGACAGTTCTTACCTTCTCATCTCCGTCTCGTTTCCTGGTCATGAGAAAACTGTTTGCACGTGACTCACATAAATAATTGAACGGAGCTTAACGTTTTTTACGCTTTTGGTTTTTATTTCGGAATTACCCTTAACGATTCTTGCCAACCGTTACCCTACAACAGCTTCTGCTGGGGTCGACAACTCCTTTTTTTCTTTCTTTTTTTTTACTTTTGTAATAGTGAATCAAATGATACTAATTTTTTTTGTAGTGTGGATGCTGGTTTAGACCAGTTTAGAAAACCACACAGTTAATGGCACAATTAACCCGACTAGATGGGACGAGTGTGCTTGGCAAGAAGACACAAACGAGATTTATCAATTCATTTTATTACTTTTAGTAATTTTTTTTAATAGACTTGGGTTTATTTCCTATTGGCCTCAGAAGTGCCAGAATTGCTACTCTCTTATCGTTACCCAGTGGGCACTTGTGGCTAAGTCACGACTGTGGAGTAGCGTCGTCCACGTCATACAACCACAAATCCGCTTATAGGGCTGGTTACATTCACACAATCACACAGAAGAAAGGATATAGAACTTAGAAAGAAAGTAACATCCATGCCTACGGTGGGATTCGAACCCACAACCACTGGCCCTGTAGTCCAGTACAGTAACCACTAGACCAGTGATTGGCACTTTTAGTAATTAAAATCCACCATTTTTTGTCAACGAAAACTGAAATATTCTTTCCGACGCTGGGTATAAATGTTACTCCAAAGATGTCCCGTTATCTTCTCTTAAATAAGCAATTTTATTTTATAACTGGTGTTGAACAGTTGACTCAATTCTGAGTTTAAGACTCAATGCTCAACTCCGTAGCCTTGTAATTTTGAACCCAATCAAAAGAACAAGGGAACTCTTGAATCAAGAGCTGGGACAAACTAGCCTTCGTGGAGGATTTTCTGATGGAACTAACCCGTAATTTTGTTGCATGGAGAGAAAAACCATGAAAACCTCTCAGGGTTAGCCCAACGGCAAGGAGATTCTACCTCATGATCTGTGTCTGCTGCTGAAGATATTTTTAAGTTAGAATTGTGGTCGGTGAGAGTAGAATTCGTATCACCAGCCACCGATGAGATTCCAACCTGAGCCACCTAATTAGGATGCGGACGCTCTTTCCCCTGAGTCACCACGGCTGTTAGTAAATAGTTATGCCAACTT